ACAAAAACATGTTGATATAGGTACGCGATTCGATACTATTCATGCAGTAAGTGTTACAGGATTTAAGTTAGTCAGTACTTTTTGCATATATGTATCGATTAATTTTATAACTAACTATAACAGTCAAAAAACTACAAGTACAGAATTAGTTAGAAGATATTCAATTTAATCGTGTCAGAAAAATACATAAAATTTCGAAATGGCATACAATCTAAGAAAAAGCAATTTATATCCACTTATCAGTATACTTTAATGTAATTAATAAAGTAAAGCAATTTAAATCGAATTTACGGCAGTTACGGTTATCTTAACGTACCAGCATTACCGTTCTTCATGTACTTTCTAAGGAAATGAGACCGAATTTCTCCCTTTATACGGATACCTGCATTGGCGAATCCCTAGCACTAAATTACGTTCAGTCCTAAAAGATATCGACGATATACGGTATCATCGTATATAAGAATAATTATACTGCAATCTGAATTGTACTTTCTCTCTGCCAACCTTCCAGTATGACATTTAGTCTTTCTACATTACTACAGTCAAGTCACGAATGTGAACAAATAAATAACAGGATAGACCACCTGATAAATTACTAACCAAAAGTAAAATAAATATTTTAAAAGTCTTTTATATCTGAAGTAACAGCCGTTATTATCTACGAATACCGAATCTAACTTTTTCTGATCTACGGTAAATTGGACAGTGGATACCTTGAATATTATTAAATGTTACGCTCATAACTAATTACGATTAAATTAATGCAGATACAGCTTCCATTATAGTTCATGTGAATAAAATACCATAATTAGTTAAAATTACATTGTTTAATAATTCTATTAACGCAACGGTTGAAATTAAATTGAGTTATGGTATTGTGTAGTGAGCTATAGATATTTGCAATTCAAATAAATAAAAGAATTGTCATTTCTTGATAATAGTGTTTCGGTAGTAGCATAGAAATTAATTAAAATATAATATTCTAAATCATAGGATAGTAATAGTTGAAAAGGCATAACCACTAGTAATTAATTTGAACACGCTATATACTTGTTATCATCCTGAAGATATTGCTACATCCTTTTATTTAGATAAGCAAATAGGATGTTTCTTTTCTAATTAGATCAATTTATACTATTATTATTACGGTAAAATATTCAAGATAGTTTAAAATTTTAGGACATTTGCTATTGCTATGCATCGCTGGTTAATTTAAACTAATAAGTTGTTGAACAGAAAGTAAGTAACAGATTCTGTACCAACAGTATAGCCCATATATTGCAAGGTACTCGTCATTATTAGGCCACATAATTAAACTAGTAATTTTTTTAGAGTTTCTTTTCCCAGCAGCCTAATTCTACCACACCTTTTACTATCAAGTCTAAGGTTCGGAGTTTATAGTAGTAATGATTAGTTATGATATGCAAACTAACATACTGTACGATGTAAGTTAAGAATTAATAACACGCCTGTGCATAATTGTCTCTCATGCCCTTGGTAATGATAACGCTAAATTCTGATTAAATCTGCTGGTATCTAATTAATTCTATATTATATATTTATTTGTGAGACGCAGATGTTTTCCTGAGGAAGTTTGATGGAAACGCTATTTCCGCTTAATCAGTTATCTAATAATCAGCATAACTGCGACACGATATTCAAGCATGATCTCCTGTTTCGTAACTATAGTTACTAATGAATAACGACGAACTTTCGCTCTTTTTAATAATGAAAATAGAGAAAGCATATAAGTGTAAAGAGCTTTAGTGTCTTTTACAACTGCATAGCTTTGGAAACTACATTTTAGTAAAATTGAATTGCACTTCATACATTTGAAAACCACGGATGATTTCTTGTTGCCAACCTAAAATGAAGTTTAAAGAATAAGCTATTCTTTTATAGTTTGTATTAAATATCCGAAGGTATGCTGCCAAATTATCAAGCTTATAAAGAAGAGGTGAATCTCTAATAGCGATTTAATTAATAATTTCTGATTTCCATCATGAAATATGCCAACATGCGAGTCATTGTTTTGATAACTGACCGAAAATAATGTTAGCCTCATTTAAAGTAAGATTAAAACTAATTATGTCATGACCCATTTAGAAAATTAAGAGAAATTATTTCAGGTCATGAATAACTTCGAGCGCTAATGTGTAATTACTTTAAAAGCTTTAACTATCTATTCTACATTACACGGCTGTACTACGCACTATTACTAAGCTCTCAACCATGTTTTCAAAACGCACGTTTAATGTCAAAATCATTGCATGTTCAAAGCCTATATGATATAATTTATTTCCGCAAGATTTGAAGTAAATAAAAATACTTAAACGAAATTTTTTTATCAATAAAGATACCTTACAATTTTTCAAGTATAGCATAGTAGACCGAGTAAATAAGAAAAGCTTTAATTTTCCATAATCGTTGTCATCGAAATTTAAGGAAGCATTGTGATTGGTGATTTTGACACTAATTTTTTTTAAATTTGGGTAATCTAAACAAAGTGGCGTGTGGAATATCGAATATCTGGTAAAATCTGACACCATTTTTGAGCGTGAAGTATTTTAAGTACATATGATCCCGATCGGTCGATGATTGTAATCTTAGCAAGATATTAAAGGACATGCAGTGACATCAGTTTCTGTTCATCCAGACAAAAAATTCTAATAATGGCGATAATTTACCTATCGCGTATTAAATCTTTCCTATGAATTTTCTTGGATTAGAATTTATATACTCTAAGCTTCTATTTTTGTATCATAGGATAGTTAGAGAATCTAGTCAACTGTTCACGAAATATTAGCGTAGCTGATTTCAATTATTCTGTCCGCCAGGATTCTGTTTACTTGCAGTATTAATTGCCCTACTACTATTTTTAAATAACTTAATAAGTTACTACCCTCTCTCAAGTAATTTAAATTACTGCGTTAAACCTCATCATAAGTAAACATCATTTATGATTTTGTTACTAAAATCTGTCTAGGTAAGTATACGTCAATGTAAGCTCTTTACGACATTAAATTCCTTACTCAGTATGATCTCAGAAGGGCTAGCAGTAATGATTTGACATCAACTTAGATCCCAGTGCAAATCTGGAACAAATAATAGCATGCTTAAAAATTTATTCGAATTTACTATACAAAGCGTTCATTTAAAGAATAGTTTTTCTTATTTGGGTCAGTACGAAATTTCAGATGGTCGTCGTATTTGAAAATCTGATATTCAATCCAACCTTTGTAAGACACCAAAATGATGAAAATCGACATAACTCGAATGCTTAAGCATATTATTGTTAAAATAAAGAGTAGATTATCAATGTCGTTTTCAAAATCTTATTATAAATACTAAGTGGAAAGCGATGAAAGATTGATACAATAATAAGTATGATTAAAGCGGCTCAATATATCACGCATATATTTTTGATGATGAAAGATGTATTAATCGCTTTCTATGAAATAGCTAAGAAATGCATGAATTAAAAGAAGTAAAAATTGGCTTGTATAGCTAAGAAACTACGATATACGTGCATAGTGGAAAAATACAAAATAGATTATAGATCAAATGATTTTACATGCTTTGTAAATACGCCATAGCTATATGACATGACATTCAAAACAAAAATTATTGATTGACAAATTTTACTGATTGAGGATCAAATTAAATCACGTCAAGTATTTCATTTGTAAACTACCGTTATACAAAAGCTTTCCTAGACAAAAACATTCTAAAAAGTCAAGCTGTTATAGTATTTATTATAGTAGTCACATTGTATGCATCATCTTATTTATTCGAGAAGGCAATAAATTGAGATGAGCTATTCAATAAAATATAAACAATTTAACCTAGGACTTTCGATTAATTAGTATTTCGAAATAATAGGAAACGTTTATCCATTGATACCTTATACAAAATTCACATTGGAAGCGAAGAAGTCTAGTAATTGATGATTTTAATCTTAGCCAATGTCAGCCTCTCATATAAAAAATGACAACAACATATAATTTGCTTTAGAAAGCTTACCTTTAGCCATTTAAGTTTGTTTGTAAATAAAATCTTGTTTATGTATTGTATTTAATGAAAAAGTTTTGAAGCTATTACATGGTATACACCTTCTATTCTATATTGAAATATTAATTTTGAGTCATAAAGATTGATTTCTCTACTAAAGTAATTGATCGCTACTACCATATATTTTAGAAAATTGTTTGCCATGATTAAAATAAGCTTTAGATACAGGAGGTTGATCCTTAACATATTGTAAGAATCGATATGATAAGTCTACCGTAAGAAACGAGTAAGGTTTAATACAAGAAATAAATTGCATGAATTGTTATCCGAGATTGAATACATGAAATGTGTAATAAGATGCAATAAGTCCGTCTGGCCATAAACAAGATGACAGATTCAATTTTGCTTTACTATATCGGTATTTTATACCTGAAAATTATGTATGCATGAATGCTTTTCATGAAATAGCTGGTCTTCAGTTCCAAACGGTAACATGGAATCGCAGTATATTACAGTATAAAATAACAGCGTAGAAACAGTAACTGCAGGTTTATTTAATTAACCGTTATTAGCTCCGCAAATTTTATGAAGCATCAGAATCGTAAGTCTTCAAAAATTTGGGTATATTATCACTGCACCATGATTAAAGAATAAATCTTTTAAATTTAAAATTGGATGGCGATGAAATAAAAAGGAAATATGATTGTAAACGACAATATGAAAGCCTACAAATCAAATGCGTACATGATTTTGGATTAAACTCTTTCAAGTTTTTGAAATGCTAGAGCATACAAGCTACTCGAATTAAAAGAACGGAATCCGAAAACGATAATACGAATACTAACAAACTAAATGCCTTCTTAATTTTGGATTAAGCTCCTTGATGTTTTAATTTCATGAAATATCAGTGCTATCAATCTCCAAGAAATGTCAAGATGTAAGCTACTGGAATTTAAAAAAATAGAATCCATAAGCTTTAAATCACGCAATTATAGTGCAATGTCTCCCCAACAATAAATAAATAACCATGTTCTGTTCGTAATAGATAACTTCTGTGTTTGAATGAGATCGTATACTTTTGGATTATTATGTTGTAGAGTAACAAGCCTTAAATGTGAATTTGCTCCATTGGCCATTTTCTAAGTTCAAAGTAATGACAAGGTGATATTAATTTTAGCCATTATACCTCATCTTGACAAGCGATATGATCGAAGAGCGATATAATAAGGACCAAAACATAGCAATTCGCCTTTAAAAATATATCAATTTTTTGATTATTTTAAAATTTTAGGCACGAATTGAATGATATTCATGTTTTAAATATCGAAAAATAGATAAACTTTAGAGTTTATCGCACTAGTAAACAATTATAGCAAACTTTATTTAAACAGCATATATATCTATATTATCGAAGGTTGGCTTTGATATGATGTTTATACGGCTATCTTGATGCGCATAATATGCTAATTTCTGGTTATTTCATAATTTCATGGGTAAAATTTTGCTGTCAGTCTTGACAAATTGAATACGAGTGCATGAATGAAGTCGAAGGTTCAAAATTCGACTATTAAGCTTTAATAAATATCATCCTAGGATGACTAAATAGACTTTCCGATAACTGTTAGGCGGTATAACTATTTCAACCCATCGTGATATTAACTACAGCAGCTCTTGAATGTTCTGATCGATTCTGACCAATAGGCTAAAATCCAACTTAAAATTAGTCGGATTACATTACATAGGTTGTACCTTGATATAGTTTGAAGTGAATCCAGTTGTAAATACCCAATTCGGTAGCCATGACGAATGTCTTTAGAGCTATAGCTCAACCTATTGTCTCTAGAGTATTTTTACTACGAATTGCATTATTTTTTACCCAATAACGATGGCATCGACAAAAAGAACGGCCTGCAGATAGCCAGTAATGACGACCAAATTTCTTCTTAAATTCACTTTTAATTGCGGCAGTAAATATTATAGCCAAGACAGGATGAATAAAAAGGTAAGACGTCGCCATTAAGTAAGTTATTAAAATTGGCAGTAAAAGGGAAGTATCATAATGTGTAAAATAAACCAAGTAAACAACGATACAAGGAATAAATGCTAACGAATAAACTGCTAAGATGGTAAACATCTGAAATAAGACTTTTCGATGGCGCAACATGTGCCGATAGCTTGTCCATCTACAGGTTTCTTCTTTTTGACATGATACGGACCAAATTTTACGCTCTAAGGCATCGATTTGACGTAATATTTTAAGATAAACGAAAAAGGTAACCAGAGGAGGTAAGAAAAATGTCAATGGAGGTAAAATATAGACAAGAACCAGAGCAAATATTCCCATATTACTCCATGGGAAACAGTATCCAAATTGAAGATAGGAGATAAATTCAATCAGTAAAACGACAAAAAATAAAGGAACTGCCCACGTAAGAAATAACACGATAGTGGCATTTTTCTTGTTCACAAAGCGACGATATTTAAAGGGATAAATGACCGAATAAAATCGTTCCAGACTTAACATGGTTACATGTAAAGTAAAGATACAAAACATGGTAGTTCGAAGTGGAATGCTAAGTACGCATTGGAGTAATGTTGTTTTAATCGGATTGACGACAAAATTGGACACCGATCCAGCCAAAACCTCAGTCATTGCGGCCATGGAAGCACTTATACAACTGCTGCATATAAGAGCGTTACAAGATGTCCTTAGATGCCGCTGACTTAAAATAAGCACAACTACAAATATATTAGTAGTGATTGCTATAAATGCAATAGAAGATGAAAATGGAAAGATGCTTAAGGTGATATCGCTGTGGTTCATAACTGAAGTATTGACAAATGAATATAAATTGATGCCAGACATTGCTAGAAATTCATAAAATATTTCAGTTTCCTTGACTTAATATGGACATCGGCGTTCTGTCTGTACTGATGCAAAATCGATTAAATTGTTAACGACGATACTAGAATGAAATCAAAATTCTTGTATCAGTTCCCTAAAAAGGAGAAAATTTTTGCTTAGGCCAAAGCACGAATAGTAAGATACAAAGGCAGCGTTAATAGCGAGAATGGAACAATACTACGTATCTTTGTTGCATCTGTATTGGAATTGGCTATTGATATTTAGTTATAAATTAGCCAAAAATTATTATGTATAATTGATAAATTGATAGCTGTCTCGAGAAAGTTTCTGATAAAGGACCGAATAAATGATTATAAAACGCGCTTATCCAAAATCGGAAAATGGATGACAGTTTGGCTTTAATTATTTTCTTATTTAAAATGACTAACGGAAGTATAATTTCTACTGGAAAAGCATACAAGAAAGCATTATCTTTGAAATGAAAAGTATTGATGTTCTCATTGGACCAAATAGATGAATTTATGACCTACTGGAAATTAATCATTGAATGCAATTACAATCTAATTAATGCTACTATGGTAACGAAGTAAATACTTTTGTTGGATTACCTATCTTGATCCAACTAATGATCAATAGCAAGTTGTCCGTAAAATTATCATGATACCACATTAATGCCATGAGTAGTAATATGCATCTGCTATTAGTTAAATTTCAACTACGGTTGCCATTCCAAATTTTCTAGATGATATTTAAATCCACAGGACTAACAGATTTATGGACTACTCAATAGCATCGGCGAATTTACAGCATTATAAAGTGGAGCATTAACAATTATAGTATTTTCGAGTGGTCACGATACGTACTCTCCATTGCTGCTTATAGCGATTGTATTGGGATTTTTCGGGATCACTTACAGAACATATACATATATTCAACTTTAAATTTAAGCCTAGTAGAGCGATTATCAAAGCTATTGAAGTTTAACTCTATACAATGTCAATTAACTTTTCATTCAAAATCATTATAGTTTAGTATGAACGCCATAGAAATGGTGTAATTATATATTTATTATAAAACTCAAAGTTATAATTACTGCAAACAGGTATTAATAAGCCTGCATTATTAGGCTTCTAGATGATTCTAGCTAGAATCAAAGAGCAAATTCATAAAACATAAGCAAATTTCTTAAGCCGGAATCGATGTGCTATTTCCTTCCGTTTCTACTATAGTCATCGTGCTATCGTTAGCATATATCACTCTGTGCTTCCTCATTCAAAGTAGACTGTTGAAATATAAATTATCGAGCAATACAATTCTGCAGCAATGGTATCCGAGAACTACCGTTGAAGTCTTAAAATTTCTCTGCTTAAAGCTGCTGTATCCGATAACATTCGTTATTATAATTGACGTATAGGTATCTATATTGATAGAAACCTAGTGCATATTAATTAATAAATACACATTCAGTATCCAAAGATAGTCGTTTCTTATTAATAATCAAAATTTTATATATATATGTACTGTATATATCTAATATAAAAGCTTTCAGGTGATAAAAAGTATTGTGGGCATACACTGCTTTAGTCGGAATCTCAAAACTTTTGCTATGAATGGCCTTGTAGTTCGTAATTTATCCCTATGCGTTAGATGCATATTGATACCTTTATTCCTTGATTTATATCGTTTTGAGGTATCCTCAATGCTCAATATTTAATAAGACATGCAATACATGTATATGTAATAATTTTTTTCGGATACGCAGAATATCTATCATACGCAAAGTTACTCCTAATTTAATGTAAATGGTCCAAATTATAAACTGAATTGTTAGTGAGAAACATAACATGACCATACCTAATATAATTATCGTGAGATATTTAGAAATTATTAAAAGCTTGTAAAAGCTTCTCCTAGAATCTATTATGGAAATGATAATTTTCAGTTATAATTTAAATAATTTCGTCTTTTACAATTGTGCAAACAATTCTCAAATTTCAAGAGTAACTTTTATCTCCTCTTCCTTAAAATTCTTCCATATGCCATTTTATTATTCTGTAGTTAACTGTGGAAGATCAACTTATTTCCTGTAATAACTGCAATTAAAGTCATAATATACCGGTAATATAAATCAAAATTCGATTACTGTGATCATTAGCTTGTTATATACCCACTTTTTATTTTTAACTATTTTCTACATACATCACACTTACAATACAAGCTGGGATTATGGATAATTAATTCTTATAATTAGATACTACCGTTCCCTATGAATTTAATTTCTGTGATAGATTAAGTTATTGTCACTATATGTCATTATAGAATAGCTTTCAATTTTTAAACTTTCTATCCTAACGCGGTTAATTTAAATCATGAAATCAAATGAATTTTCTTTATCGATGCTATATTAATACAGCAAAACGTGCAGGTAATGGCCTTGCTAAGGTTGGCTATGATCTGTTTAATTTGCCTAACTCTTCTAGAAGTCGGTAGTGTTGGCATCTACTCATAATAGGAATTATATTTATTTAATTCATTACAATATGAAGGTATTGCGGCATTATGGCTATACGTGTAACCACCTAATATTGGCTAAAAATAGGTACAGAATTATTCTAAAATTTCAAAAGTTATCAGAAATTACTCTAGACGATAATCATCGTATTGTGCATTACTAGTATCCTTTAATGAGCAACGTCATAAAGCGATAAACTCTGCGTTTACATAGCTCTAAATAAGGTCGAAAAATGATCGAATTTTATTTATCGTATCTAATCATTTCAAGACTGTTCTTAAAATAAATAATTCACATTTTTTGCATTGTGTTCTAAGTATTAATAAAATTCAGCTAAATTAACAGACGTACTCGATTTTAAAATATTTTGGCCTGAAAAGAGCAGCAGTAATGTTTTAGAATTATCACCTCGTCTGTATAGCCTTAAAATTCATGGCAACATACCATGACATTTTATACATTACATTCCAAATATTGGTAAAGTTTAGCTAACCAATTTTGTGCTTGATTTTAAATATTTTTGATTTAGATTTAAATTATATGTTGCCTTAGTATTGTATCTGTAGGAAAACTAGACTACGCTGAGCCCCGAGTAAATAAGATAGTAGATTAGCGGTGTTAGTGGCACTCTATCAGGTGTAATAGGCCGATCGGATTATTAGTGGATAATACTAGGGATGTTAGTCGTACGGTTAAGTAGGACTACATGGCGCCTTGATAGGCGGCACCGACACATCTTAGTAGATGACGTATGATTAGCCCAAAGTGAGGAATGGCAATCATACGTAGCTTGGGGTCTTGCACTCACAAGGCCCATATTAAATATAAATTTGAATAAGGAATAGTATAGGAAGCAAAAATAAGATCTTAGTTGAACTGATTGAAATAGGGATTGGGAAAACATGTTTATCATTAATCCTTTCTAGGAATGTATAAAACTCCTTGGAGTGGGAGTGGGTCGATAACCTTAAGCTAGGCGTGTAGGTGTGTAAGTGCGTCAATTTAAGTTCTACTACGGTAAAATTTAACGGTAATATTTTTTAAGTAATAGATTCTTTTAACCACTACAGAGAGGCCTAATGTCCTTGTGTGACTAGATACTGTAAGGCTGGAAGTAGTTCTATATTACAACATCAAGATGGCAGTCTGTATTAGTTTCAAATCCAAATCAAGCAGTTACGTTATAGCTTACATTCATACTTGCTATTCGATCCATGGTTTGTTAACTAAATTCGTTACTATATAGCATTTTGCGTCATAATAAAAATGATTCGATTTCGATATCAAACGTTCAACTTCTGAAATTCTATGTGTTACGCACAGGAATATTATAGTAGAATTTCTTACTAGATTACTTCAACCTTCAATTGATTTCTTTATTTATCCTTGTTTTCTGTATAGATGGAATAAATACTTTCTGACTTACTTTTCCAGATTTATTAGATGGACTAATATTACATAATTATTCCTAGCAAAATGGATAAATTAAATCTGACTTTTATTTAATAAAAAAAGCTTTGATCATTTTTAAATTAATTAGCCTAAATCGGCCTTGCATTGGATTAATATACAACAAACCAGTTGATACACTACTATTTAATAAAGTGATTTAGAAGTCGAAAATTTATATACATTTTACCGTGGGATTAATATTACATACATTATGCGATGAGTTATTATGATATCATGTACAGATCAGAAGTAATATTGCTTTCACAACTACAATGTCGCTAGTTCAAATAATTTAATAGATTCCTGTTCGTTATTTGCCTTCTGACGGTGAAAATAACAACCATCTTTAAAATGATACTAAGAAAATCATTTTTCAAAGGCTTCGATACTATAGCTGAGCAGCAAAATACGTTCTGATACTATCGGACAACGAGAACATTATTTAACAGGTTAGATAATACTGTAAAGTTTCAATTCTGCATACCCGAGACGAGTTACAATACAGGTTATATCTACCATTTTCTCTTTGCATTATAACATCTGCTGACATGTGCCAAGATAGACATCTGAATACCTTAGCCTCACAAAATCCTGCGTATACTATACGAATGTTGTTTAATTAGTTTAGAAATAGAGCAATAATTATCTTACACCAACCAATAAAGCCGTTCTGTTCCAGTTATCAGTTAGATATTTATAGTATAATTACACTAGGCATAAAATTTGAATTATTTGTAATCAATTAACTGAAACTCCTGGCATGATTGTAAAGGATGTTCCGGAAATGAGTATTCCTCCTAGTATACTGGTTTAAGAATACCATATTGATGGTTTTCATACTGGCATAAAAGTAAGGATTGGGCTTTATTGCAGTCAGCTCTAATCAAATTAAAGTTGAGAGGTGAGTCATAAACTTGTATTAAATTCATATTGACAGTATCATAAAAACAAATTCTACGATGATCTCGATCAAGAACAATGAAAAATTGATTTAGCCAATAAGTTGATGGGAAATTGACCGTAGGTTGATAAACTGCATTAAAATCGAAAAATTTTCCTGTCCACTTGTAATTTTTCATAAAAAGTCGACGACGACTAAGATGAAACATCTAGAAACAGGTAGATTTATATTAAGGTAATGATTCTTTTTTAGATTAATAAATGTATGCTCGGATACTTAATGTTATTAAATAACTCTATACCATTTTTTCATCTCCATTTTGCAATATACAGCACTCTTTCGATTTATTTGAATATTTAATCTAGGTAGGCAAAGTATTAACAAGTTTCAATTTAAATTATATTATAAATTGATCGTTTTAAAAAATAAGACTTGGAATTAAGGAGTGATTTAATTTCGGAGAATAACAAAACATTGGTCAGTATATTGCATACTTTGAATCATAGCCACAACAACTTACAAATAGCTCTGTATCCGCGGTGTTAAAGGTTTCCAACATGCTTATGGTGTCCCATGGAGAAATGAGCAAGTTTACATCTTGCAATGATTTCTTATTTGGTGTATCAATTTTGCAAGCTAATCCATTATAGTATTTATATTGATGCTCCTTTACTAGCGCACTTTTGTTGATATCATCCCCAATTCTATACCACTGCATGGCAAAGAATGAAATTATTAACTAATCCTTATATTATTACAAATTAGCCGTAAAGTTATATAACATATATATATACCTTGATGGCGTGGTCTCCATTTATCAACCACTGATGGAGGATACAGTTTCGATCGTCACAGTAGATCATAGTCGATAGTTGGATATTATGAACGTTTTCACAGTAGATCACCTTATTACCACTAGGTCGATCAATAATAAAAATTGCAAACTTCTGGAATAAATCCGGATACTATATTATTATAAAAAGCAAATTAAAAGTGGATTAGTTAATATCCAAATATTTAGAGTATTAAAATGATGTGCATGTAGTCATAGCGAAATCCATTTACTTACTAGCATTTTTAGAATGAATATCAATTTTTTATCACTTGCTCTATATACTGCTTCCGTGATCGTTAGGTTATAATCTGAATTATCAAAGATATGTTCTACTTGTTTGGAATCAGCTGCTGGCATTTGTATGTTGTCATACTAATAAATAACATTAGAAAAGTTCGCTTTGGTTATCTTAAGAAGACTCATGACAAATGATATTTAGTCTTAACATAACAACAAAACCATACATTATTGCATAGATATTAAAATAATGTACCATTAAGCGTTATTAAGCTAAGAATGGGAATTTAACTGTCTCTGTGATTATGTTAAGACAATAATTTGACTTATTTCCAAGAATAATATTCTTCTATTAACTTTTAGAAATTCGTTATTGGCGTTAGCGCGCTATTTTAATCGTATATAAATTAGAGTAAAAATTCTATCAATTATCTACTGTCGAATGACGGATTAAGGGGAGCGATTTTATTTTTGATTAGAAAACACTTTGGAACTTTTTCTTCAATGTTACATAATTAATTAGACTACTCTATTTGCGAGAATAATTGCCGCATGTGCCAGCACCTAGCTATCTTGACTAATGAAGTAACGCTGCTGGTAGATCTCTTTGAGTATAAAATAGGTTAATAAAATTGGGACAAGAAAGTCTATTGAAAGTTAAATTACTAGTTTTAAGGTATATTAGTTGTTTATTCCTACTGTAAGTTAATATCTTGAATTTTATAATCTGAATAAGCGGATACTCTTGATTATAATTATAATTATTATAATAATTATGTACTACTATTTTGGCAAGGATAATTACTATATACGCTAGCAGCGTATACGCTTCTAGCAGTTTTGATCAATGAAGTGACGATGCTGGATAGTTTTTTTGAATCATAAAATTGACTTATAGATTAGGACAAGACATTGTGTGGTAAGTTACGGCATTAATGTAAACATAGGTTAGTAGTATCTGTCCCCATCATTAGTTAATATCTTCTATTTCATAATTCGGATGTATGGGTACCCGATTCCCAGGATTGACCGTAGCATGGGTATTCTTAATTAGATGTGTTTACAGTTTTAGCAGCTGCCGTTTCTAAGTAAATCTCATAATAGTACAGCTGACGAATCATTTCAGCTTTGGACATCATCTCCTCACCTGAACTAAGCTAAAATGCCAATGAGAAGTAGTTACTAGCTTGGTCCAATGTGTTTGATTGCATTTATAGCGTTGAACGACAACGATTGAATCTAGATTATGAAATAAGAAGCAGCTATACTTTCTTTCACACTTATATTCGCCCAGGTTACACTTGGATATAGCTTCTAAAGATTCTCCGGTATAGACCTATTAGAAATTTTCCTATTCTTGAGTATCTTAATATTTTACACGTGAGGAATTCCGCAGAATTGCGATGAAAATACAATATTAAACTGACCATATATGCAGAAACTAACTGTTGATAATATTTAGCTGTAATTAAATTATTTATAGGTGAATGTACTGAACGTATTCTAGGTCATTCAAGTATTGTAAATTTGATTATGATTTCTATTTTAGTATTCATAATTATGGAACTTAAAAAAGTTGCTGCTCGCTCGATTTTCAAATACTAAAAACAGCAGAAGTTATCATTTTCCAAATCAAATTACTGAAGAATAGACTACAGATGCTGTTAAACGGTAAGTTATCATAATAAATCTACGCAGAATCTGCTTATTATGATGAAACGTAATCCAAAGTAGTCCATGTAACTTACTATTAGTCTTAGACTTTCATCGTTCATCTTCATGAGCTTGGTGACGTATGGAATACAATCGATAAAGGTGCAACTGGAATCAAGCACTTTACCGCAATTGTAATCTTCGTTATGACATTGGCGAAACGCTATTTTGCTTTCACTATCCATCTTTTGCCATTTCAAATTACGATCTGTATTGTATAATGGATAAATAATATCCTTTGCTTCATTAAATAATTTCTAAATAGTTTTATGCTCATCATTAGCAGTATTTGAAAATCGGTTTTACCTGTTACCGTAAATCCATAAAGTTTTTGAGACGAGCAATCGTACGTTAATAGATCGTAGCCAGTGGGAACAAATAGCAGTTGACGTATAGTTTGCATGCAGTTTATAATTACATATTCACTAATACTATTGCCGTCGATTCGAAAAACCTGTTGGTTTTGAAGAAGTGATTACAAGTTACTGTTAATTTTGGTAAGCTAAATATAGTGTAGATTTTTAACAACTATCGATTACAACTATAAAAGGTTCACTAAAATCATAATGAATATGGGTAGGGTCATACTGTATCACCTTAAGCATATATGAAACCATAAAATTATATAGGGCAACTATTCTTGCAAGCGTAAGGATAAAAATTAATTATTCATAAAGGATGCAGATAGGGTCCCATCTACATCACTTACGTATGCATAAAACCCTAAATATATATACTTCAAATATTCTTCCAATCATGAGATTAAATTAAATATTAATAATGGATACATACAGGATTCTATTGCATCACGTGCACATATGCGAAACCCTGCAATTATATTATTCACATATTCTTGTAATCATGAGATTAAATTAATTGACTATTAACCATGGGTACAGGTAGGGTTCTATTGCATCACTTGTGCATAGATTAAATCCCAAAATTATATGGTTAATATTCTTGCAATCGTGAAATTAAACTGAATATTATTAGAAATTGATTCATGAAGGGAGAGTTTTACTTAAAATAAAACTAGTCCGGGGTATTAACAATAATGTACAGACATTTTGCTTGTTATGAATACAACTGTTTTCTTCTATTCTCTTCATATGTAATATTTTAGCCTCCATCAATGTATGTGATAAGCTATTCTAAGGTAGGCTGGTAGACAATGCAAATTATGAGAGCGAATTTCATGCTTTACTAACCCGCAAAGTTGAGGACTAACATCGGGATCGAGACATGTAAATTATAAAACGGTAGTACTACTGAAGATACTGTGGAGAAGGTCTATAATCTTTAATCTGTTTAATTTAGCCAGAAATAAGCGGCACCTTTTTCTTATGTATATACATAGTCCAACGTTCATTTTTTGATAGATTTGCTAACGATTTCCTAATATCTGCGTCTACAGAAACATGTAGTAGGTGTACTCGTATGCATACTAGCTTACCATCAGATTACCCTGACCATTCAAGATTGCTAAATATTGCCCGTCATCGGATATAGCTGAATGGTTGATACACTTGGGATCATGATGAATTATCTTAAAATGTCTTTTCCACATTGTAATAAAATCAATCGATGTATTTCCACGGTTTACCATGGTTAATAAGCCTAAAACAGAACCTTTATAGGCTTTGGAATGGTATAGCGCAACAATATTGAGGTAATCATTGGAAGTGTATTGCACATGACTTAATTCCATTGCTTTATTTCCATGTTTACTTATGCTATATGAATTTCCATCACACTTAATTCGTCCTGGAACTCGAATAGATTGATGGCAAAAAAATGGCAGTATATTCCAAATCTTCGAAAATTTCGATAATTACAGAGTATTAGTTGACAATAACTGATTGATTTCTTACAATATCGCATGAATTGAATTTAAAATATTGTATTGGTTAAGTTCGATTTATAATAATTCAGCCTTAAAGATATTATAGTTGCTGTGAAATTGATTTGCAACCATGTAACGAATCGTTAAGGTTTGGATATCATTATCCTGTTGTGAGCAGCCCAAAGCTACGAAATAACTACTAATTTTTACATGAAATAATAATAAAATATGTACCTCGATCAGACATTCATTGACCCAATCTTTCTCCTGTTGTCCTTGATGCTGATTGTATTTCTTACGCAGTAGCAGAAATTTACCACCTTTAGGTAAGGTTTGGAATAAAGTAATCTCTTGTTGGCTTGCTATCGATTTCGTTGTGCGTTGGATTTTATTACCACTTACTTCCCATATCTAGACATTTAATAACGAAGATACGATAACATTTTGCATTAAGAAGAGTTTTTCTTCACGAAACTGTTCAAGTAAGACGATTATCAAATCTATCATTATAGTGTATCCTTTTATACTAGTTAGACTTATGAAAACAGTTACCAGATTTATTAAAACTGCAAAATCTATATTACAGGAATATTACCTATATCGGAGCTATAATGAAGTAAATAGGGTAATCAAGAAATGAACTTATTACTTTATTGCGCTTACAATTATATGCATCCGGTCAACTGATAAAGTCATTAACATTGCAGGAGTAGTTTCACAGGATAAGAATTCGAAATTACAGCATTCTAATGCATGCTTTATACCACTTTCATCGATAAAGGGAAGATGTTCGAAAGAGTCAATATAGCATACTTTCCATGTCTAGTAAAAGAAATGGTCCTTATAATTATTTTTTGCACTATCTTAGGTAGCTTTCAATACTACCAGTACTTTTAGAAACCTGTACTCTGAAGAGAGTAATAGTGCAAAATTGATGGTATTAAAATGTAAATGCATTAAAGCTTAAACAGTATGCACTATCGTTAGATGTTATAACTTTCCAAAAATTTCTAGGCTCTCATCCTTTAGAATGGAAAGTGCGTAATAAAGGAGAGAATAGATAAAAGTAGACATAGAACATGTACAAACTGTGATTATCGAATTTGTATTTTAAGACCTAATATGTTTAAAGGGGTATAATGAGTAAATGAATATTTTACCCCTTGGCTTGAATAGGCCATCAATTTACTATCTGATGAAATTCGAACTTCTTCAACCCAAATTGCTGGCAATGGCAATTTATACTTTGTATCACCTGTTTGGTTGTCAATTACCTTCAAATTGAAAATTACAGAAATGATCGGTAGTTAGAGTGAAAAATCTTTAAACTATTAGGAATAGAGCTATTAGTACCCCTATTTTTAGTCTAACTGCAAGATCTAAAGCTGTCGCCTTCATCTATGTTCACTATTATAGCATTATTAAAGCTAGCTTACTACTATACAGCTATCCAAAGTTCCATTATAATGAGTGGAGATTATTTTTGAATTATCGATACTGCCATTGGAAAGTCGCGGTAATACATCATTCCAGCATCTTCCAATTAGTTTGTTATTGTTCCAAAATGTTAGATAGCTGAAGGATGGAGTAGGATAGCTGTAAATAAGTACCCATAAATCGTATTAATTAATATGATAGTGCAACTTTACAAGATATGAAATCTTCAGAATCTTGTCATGATTAACTTACGCCGTCATCATAACATGGAATTTGAAATTATCTTCTTTCGCTTTACTGTCAACAATTTGCAGTGCTTTCTCTTGAATCCAGCTATTATGACTACTACAACTCAACAGAAATTGTGAAAAGTCCATTTTCTCCAAGTTGAAATAGGACTGATTCTGCCGTAGAAAGTCGTATAGTTCAGAAATGTCCATAATTGCCTATAATAAAGAAATCTACATGTGAATAGAGCGGATTAGCAGCAAAGGACACATTACAAATGAGCGAAATTCTATTTAAATTTAATAATTTGATAATCTAAGGCGATGTTTCTATCGTTTATAAACGCTTACACAATGGAGAGATTAATTCCGATTAATTTCGTCGACATTTACTAGTTTTATCTCATTAAATGTTAGATGATGTATTTAATAGATGACACAACAAAATTGTAAACATGAAGTTATGTAAAGGAGATTTAAGAATATTCATTGTTTCTAGCTATGAGTAAATTTTAGGCCGTTTGTGGGAACTTACTGTAGTTTCACTGAGGTGGGTAGATTTCATATATTTCAAAATATCTGCGTATAGGCAATGGAGGGTGTTGCATGCTATAACTTTAGCTCTCATCCATTTTAAATCGGTCATAAGGCCTTGAAGGGTTTCTTTATGACGAGCTTCTATAGCATGGTCAATTATATGCTGGTAAAAATAGCCATCATCTTTGTAGTTACACTGCTGTTTTCGCCATAATTGCCAATAGTTTTCAACAAGATTTTTATTTAATTCTGCCATATGTATATGATTTATTTCTTGGCGATCTGGATGTTGCTGCAGACAGTCGATTATTAAATCGTGAATGATGCAATACCTAATAATTTGCCGGTATATGGAAAAAGATAACTGTCAACATTTTTATATTTTTAGCCAGTATCCACTATCATGATAGGCTAATTATAAATGCAGTTAAGCTTAGTGCAATATCAATTAATTAGAAGTATAGCCGATTAAAGCTAGAGAGTTCTTCATTATGACCTAAAAATTCAATTTCAGATTTATTGTCACTGCTTTATTTAACTTAGTAATATGCCATGATTCTTTAATACAGTAAACTATATTTACATAAGATGGTTACGTATGCAACCAAATCCTTTTTTATTAACACTGCGGTTTTGTTGATATGATCGTTAAAGTGATTAAAATTTCTATGCCAAGCTATATTGATAAATAAAATCAATAAAATCTCCAGACTGGATATTAGCCATACCTTGCATTTATATCGACATTATCATAATAAGTAATTAGCGCTTTCTCATCCAGCACTTTCATCATTTCATATACTTCAGCTTCGTTACGTTTCCATAAGCACATAATGGAGCGAAATGGGATGGGAATTCTTTTAAAAACACCAAGTAATTGAAATAATTCATTCTTTTCAGGCTCCAAGTTATTAATACACATCATAATAAAGTCGTATAAGTTGAATTCATAATCCGGAAATTTGGGCTCCACTGGTTTTGACTCCATAATGTCAATTACTTCTTTCCAGTGCTCCTCTGTTTCCAAAGTTAAACTCCTCAATAAAGAGATGGCTAAAGGTAAGCCCTGACAGCTCTGAATAACCCTTGTCATCAATTCACTTTCAAGAACGATTTGTGAATTATGATTATAGATATAACCGTCCAATACTTGTATTACTTCATCAGACGTAAATTGCTCCTATAGGGATTAAATCTTTAATGTTAATCTACATTTGCCCGAATAAACCATTCTAAGAGAATATTATTTGATGAGCTTTCTTAATTACTTGACCTAAAGCTTGGTTCGATTATTCACTATAAATAGAAAGACTATGGAAGAATATTTAGTATACTTATGAATGAAAGAAATTATGACTAACCGGTGCTTTAATGAAACTATGATAGTTTTCTTGCCATTGCGGATAGTTAAAACGAGAAGTCAAGACAGCTTTCTTAGCAAATGTTAGATAGTCTAAATGCGATTTATCCCATATATCGTCGAAAATGAAAAGAATCTCAAACTTGTGGCTGTTAGCTAGAAAATACATATCGATCCTAAGCATTAGTTAATGATAAATACGATGCATTCTTCATACTATTCATGTTATAGGTATAAGTAAATCGGATGTTAACGGCGTTGGCATACCCTGCAGAAATTGTTCAATGCATGGAGTAACTTCATCTAAATCTCGAGGTCGTTTTTCCCAACTTAAACCCATTTGGATGCATAGCTGAATTAGTATGTGGAATAAGTTACCATTGTCGACATTTCCTAGAAAGCAAGTTTTAAGCAGCGAATCCTTTATATAAGTATTTACAGTATTGAAAAATGGATTTCATTTGCCTTGAAAGAATGAATTATATCCTTGGCTAAGTATTCTTATGATGCTTACTAGATATTTCAAAATTTAAAACACTGAGCTAGTATCATGAATCAATTTCATTTTTTTATGATCGAGAAGCAGGAGATGTGGATTCTCTCTACTATATGTGTATTAATATGTGTGTATTATTTACTGAACGCTATTTTGCAGCAAATCCTTGACGGAAAATGCTGCCATTTTAAACTTTTACAGCTTATAAGAATAACGTAACGACTATGGGATATTTCTACAAACATAAAAGTGCAATTAATAGTACTTGGTTTCTGTAAACAATCTAATATGAAAATAGTATTTATAAAATACTGTCAGACTTTAAAAGTAAGACAGAAAGGTTATCGATAGCTCTGTCGTCTCGATTAAGCCATGAAAAAGGCCTTATTCTAAGAGGAGTTTAGACAAATGTCTCTTACTACTTAATGAAGATTTAGTTGGTAAATAACTGGTATAAAGCGAAATGTACCTATTTTAGTCCAATAAGCAACCCGAAATATCGGCCGATCTTCTTCCTGTGGAGCAGACAACGACCATAATGAGACAGCTTGGCTAACAGCAATCGTTTTGCCCGTGCCAGGCAATCCATACACTAATAGGTGGCCTTGGATAAAATTCTTATCCTGTAACTGTCTAAAAATTTGATGGACAAATTGCTCTCGAACTATATAGCAGCTTGTAAGCGTAGCAGGGACTCCAATTAAGAAATCTATAATGACGAAGAACATGGTAAAATGGTGTAATGTAAATAAACAGCTAATTCAATCCTGGCAAATTTATAATGTCGCTGCAATCTAGTTTGGCTCTTGCATCAACTTAGTTTTCAATACTATGGATTGTAGTTCTAATATTGTTATGCAATCTGTTTGTATATTGATTTAATTGATTACTATCGCCACAAATCGCTCAAAATAAGCGATCTAAAGTAATCTACAATGATCTAATAGCTAAACAATAAACAGTTTAATTCCGTATCATTAAGAAAGTTTTATTTATTATTTTAACTTAACGCACTTATCATAACCTATTCTGTCATTAGTTAGTGAATATTTGAGCTGTAGTATAATATTTTAAGCTGTTATGGTATCACATTTTAAAATTTTAAAGCTATCCAACTAAAAAATGGATAAAATTGGTGTCGAAGCCATGATATATTTTGCTTAGGTTACACGCTCTTATTCGTCTAACATCTTTCCGGGTAGGTGATCAAAAGATTTACAGTCATTCTAGTTCAAATGGTAAGGATTAGGATTTTAAAGGATACTGCTGTAATATTGGGCTCTAAATTACAACCTATCTAGTCTAAATACGGATAAGAGTGGTGTCTAGGTCTTGGATATATTTACTTGAGCCTCTCGTCCTTACTAGTCGTTCTACTTCTTTTTTGAGTAGGCCTTTGAAAGATTTGCAATCGTTCTATTCGTAAACTTATGCATACTCGAGTACACTAATTTTAGTACTAACATTTCATCGTTATTGGCCTTCAGTGGATGATTAATTTACTGTGTACTTACCGGTTAATTAAAAGAGAATTTACCTGATAAAGGATTAAGATCTTCTATGAAATCCGACATTTTTGGTCCGCAATGACTTCTTTAATTAAACAGCCAAGATTGAGATTGATCTCTTATGTCAGTTTCTATAATATTGATTAGCCAATTATTTCTAGCCTAAGCCGCGAACTTGCAGTTACATTGAGAATGTTATGGTGCTCTAACGAGGATAAAATTATCTAACGACGTCCATTCAGTATTTTACAAACGGTGTATCCCGATTATCGTTAAGAATAAAAAGATCAACATTCTTTACAATCTATTAGTTCAACGGTTACTGTTAAGTAGGCAGTCCTTTGTAATAACAATAACTACAACGGCATGAAGCCAGACCCCATGGGGAATTCTTTGCTGAGAATTACTTTTTGTCGTTGCTATAGACCCTTCTGGTCTAGATGCTAACCTCGTATACTTAAAGTCCTACTGAATTACGCCCTTATACCGTAAGGACGATCAAGCAATATAGAATCAATTAGCGATAAATTGATTATGACTAAAATTGAACTGTGCTAACAGACTTGATCACCAATCACCCACTAAGGCTATTTATAATGAAGTCTATATACACCTTCGTCCATATTGACTTACTAGTTTTCTAATTCATGATTCCACTACAGCAAAGTTTTCTCCAGCGATAAGTTGATTATGACTAAAATTGAACTGTGATGACAGATTTGATCTATCATCCATTGCGGGGAATATAATGAACTCTATGTACGCCTTCGTCCATATTGATTTACTAACTTACTAACTTTCGGATTACTGATTCCGCAACAACAAAGTATTACGCCAGCGATGAATTGGTTATGACTAAAACATAACTGTGATAACTGATTAATCATTCATCATCCACGACCGGTATTATAATGAACTCTATGTACGCCTTCGTCCATATTGATTTTACTTTATGATAAATAATTCCTCTACGGTAAAGTCTTCTCTAGCAATAAATTGATTTATGATTAAAGTTGGATTGTGATGACAGATTTGATTTATCATTCATTGCGGGTTTTATAACGAACTCTAAGTACACATTTATCCATACTGATTTATTAATTTTATGATTACTAATGACGCTCCAGCAAAGTACTCGTATTTCTTTAGCGATAAATTGATTATGGCTAAAATTGAAGTGTGATAGAAGATTTACGTAATCATCCATTCTCCACTACGCGTACCGTTATATAATGAACTCTAGGCACATCTCAGTCTATATTGGTTTACTAATTCTTGTTATAAGGTCAATTATATCTTATTCTTTTCTACTGCTACAACTCACAATAAAGTTAGTCAAACTGAATAAAGATCAAAATCTGCTTTATGACAGTTTTTAAAAATTGTAGGCTCGTGTAAGCTAGTCTAAAAATAAGAAAAGAGTATGTTCACTACCAAATCGCTTTAACTCGATAACGAATAGCTCCGTTACAACAACGATTTTTTTTTCTCCTCTGTACTGTTCAGATTGAATTGAAGATTGCATTTGTTTAACAATTTATTAGTAAAATTGAGCTTCAATAAATAGTGAGCAATGGCAATCTTCCCAAATGTGGCATTACTTGATGTCTTGAAATTAGGAAGTACTGGGTTAACAATCACTTAAACGAGTAAGTACAAGTATAGTGATAGTTCTTATAAGCAAAGTGGCCAGCGTATTGTTTCACCTAACAAGCAGTATAACATCACAATGTCATAATTAGGATATATTCTTGTTCAGTTTTCCCTAGGGAATAATATAGTCGATGTAACGGAGCATGACAGCCATAGTATAGATATTTCAATGAATTGACCCATGATTAAAACCAAAAAGAAGCCCTAGATAGCCTGCCAAGTTAACTTATGTTCTATCCTGGTAGCCTGCCTAATAATTAATTAATCATACTCTGTTACTATGTAACTTGCGCGAATCTATTGACATAATCTTTCATAGCGAGAATATCGATGGAGAATGTGAGAAATCATGTTTCGATTTGAACTGGCAAATTTAACTTTTTTTACGATCTTCAGTAGTGCTATAGAGCACCTTAAATGAGAATCCACTCTTGCATTTTTAGCCTATTTTAGCTTGATGTAAGAATTTTGCAATCGGTAGATCCTCGTATAGGGGAAGGTGTTTTGAATATTCGTTCCTACCCACGACATAACTAACCAAACATGACTTACGCTACCATAACAGCCATTTCGAAGAATAATATACAATCGTAGTCCATCTTGATATTCAGTAACTAATGAAACCGATTTTTCAATTGATCGAATATAAAATCCCTGGAGTACGCATACATAGGTATAAGAATTATTTAATGAGACTCATACGATTTGTGAAATAGTGGGTAAATAAGAAAACATCAAGGATTAACCTTTTCTACTGTGGTTATACGGTCAATGCTATTTAATTTATGCGACGTACACCTTTATCAAGAGCAGCTGAATTAAATTGAATTGGGTATAAAATAGAAACCACCTATCAAGCACGACTTAAAATCGACTGATATAAGTTATAAGTTACTAGTACAATATTCTAATGATTATATGCAGTAGTATTCAAAATTTTGACACTGTTTATTGGCTTTAGACTGTACCGACTTCACTTCGCCAAGGGCAGAAGCCAAAATTTGGCATTTAAATTGAAAATTAAAGTTTCAATTCAAATATAAGATCTACAGGTTGGGGTGATAGTCCCATCCATCCCATATTATTCTTGGTAAGATACGGGCTGCCATAGAAGATCATGCTGAGGTAGCTGTATGACAGATATATTTATTTCTCACTCGACAACAACCTAAATGATCTAGGCAAGAAATTTCTTGTAACATTTTTTAAAATGAAGGTTCAAATTTGGCCATAAGTTATGGAACGAATTATTTGTCCGAACGCAACCTAATACCGATGATGATGATTCAGCAAAATTCAATTATCCATTCCATTTCAAGTTAGAATTTAAATTTGCTCTGTCTATCATCATCAGCAGTGTTCTGTTGCCTTCCAATGATCATTTACTCAATCATTAAAGATCAAATTGGATTTGATTTAAGACTTATAGGAAGGAAAAATTGCCTTTAGGTCGCCATGTCCTGCCTTACCCTATCGGTGACATATTAACTTAGAAGAAAGCATATCGGCAGTATAGCTTCCCATGCAAGACTTACGATACCATGACATTGACTAGCGACGAACAAATACAGTGTTTGCGTTACGTCGCTACAGTACAAGGAACAGAAATCGGACTCTAATATATTCATAGTATCGATACTCAAACAGTCCAAAAATGCCAGCCAGGCTCATAAGCAGCATGCCGAACGCTGAGTACTTGCGTTGTTGCTACAGTATATACAATACTTTATACTGTACTCTACAGTGTACAGCTGTGGGTGCTGGTTCGAATCGGGGCAATCCGTTCCAGCGAAACAATCGAGGCCAGCTATTAACGGTGCTGAAGTCAAGGAGACCATTGCAAAATCGGCGTGCAATTTGATTACTCGTAGCATTCACTTCTTGTGATTGCAATAAATGTGTTTAGTCGTTGGTTGGGGGTATAGTCAACGCAAGAATTTACTACAAGTTACAAAGTGGAAGACTTATTACCTTTGGCTACTGAGTCTCATAATACGTGCAATACAGTAGGTAGCTGACTTGAAGTTGTGCGTAAGAGCAAGGCTGCAGCGATTGCAGAAGAAATGGATTACAATTATTCATTAATTCAATCAGAATTGAGAAATAAAATATGTCACGACTGTCTTAATCAAGAATTGATAGGATTGCAGGATGAACAAGAGTAAGTACTGTTCACGTCAATGTATCATTTCGATCTGGATCTTTTACTCGATTCTTACTCTGAGTAGAATCACTATGCTATCTCATCTCTAGAACAGATTGTTGCACAAACTCTCTTATGTTTTCTGAACTGTAATGGTATATTGTATACCATCAGGATGATTTTGGATCATCTCGTGCGTTGCAATTGTAACTAATGTCGACAAGATACTAGCTTCATTAATTATATAACCATCAAAATGAACATTGTCACGATAGGGATGATGATTTTACAGGCTGCAGAGTGATTGATGAAATGGACTAATGACTGCACGAGTATATGAACCGTGCTCCAGTCTAAAAGTTCGATGCAGAAGCTGTGTATAGTTAGATGCTACAGTGCACATCACTCCTGCCTGTTTTGAAACTCTTCCTAAGTTGCAATAATTTTAGTATAGTATTTGTTATTTAAGCGCAATATTTGTAAAGTCTTATCGAGGAATGTCGTAGGGAGACGTAAGTGTAAGGAGAACTCGAATACCTGCAAACTCCATTACATCAGCAAAGTTTGACTACTCAATTTTTTGTGCCAATGCAAGCGATTCCATTGCTTAAAAATGGATAGAACTACGGTTTTAAATTGAAATTTCGTAAAATTAATAGCAGATTGTTTACATGATAGTAACGGTCGTTGATATCAGTATTTACTGAAGCATTTTTACGCTTATAATGCTGCTTACTTTTGCAGAAAGTTATTGCAATTGCTTCGACTATGCACCCTATTTGGTGAAAGCAATTCCATCTTGATTATCGGACCTCCAGCAAGCGGAAAAACAATGGTATAGCAAATTTGCACGTAAACTTACCTGGTCTAGGGTAGCTTTTCTCACCTTCTTTATAGCGATAGTGGAGCATAAAATGATTGTCTACTGTCAGCAGTAACAGTCTTTCATAATATAGCCTGTTTACTAATTCAATGTCGAAATGTCTATTGTTATTCTGATCACAAATATTTTTAATAAGTATAAAGTACCGATTTTATATTTTGAATAGCTAATACGATCTGCTATCAATAAATTAAGAGATACCGAAGATGTAGCTGACAAATATTCGCAAGTAAATTTAAATGGTAAATAGTGGATAATTCGGATTATGTAATTATTTTACCTACCTTCCTATTAGGTATTTAAGAATTCGATGGAACTTTTATCATAAAAGTGTTGAGTTGATTAGCGTTAGTTATATTGCGTTATGCATACTTTGCTCTAATCGTCTATTGTAATCATCTATCTGACTTGACTAGGCTTGATTCAAGTTGATGACAAGCTTGCTTTAATCTCTATTGGTGAACAGCTAGGAGTAGAAGATGTCAGAGATAGATCTATAGTGAGTTCAAACTTTCAAAGTTGGTAAACTGCTAATTACTAATGCATTTACACTGCGATATAACACCGTAAACTCAGCCGATATTTAGAATAGGATGAAGAACTTGTATTCGTTGTAGATAAACGAACCAATAATTAATAAGCTATGTTTTTCCTTATAGAAATCATTTGGGGAAACATTTGCTTATATTTTAGAGTCCTACAAAAATGGTAGAGTACTGATTATTATTAATGTTTTTATAAAGGATAAATAGATAACTTTTATTCCCGGTTCAACTAAGCATAAAAATATTTGGAGAAGACCCTTTAATAATACATGTATGTAACATATGACGATAGCGCGCAATTAACTGATTTTAATAGGTAATCCAAAAAAAGGCTCGATCATATTTATATTAGATGTTTTCGACTTATTCACCCGACATCGAAATCAAGCTCTTCTGTATAATTTATTTGAAGTATGTCAATCAGCCAAAGTGTCGGTCCTTGTTATCGGAGTTACTTGCAGGCTGGTTAGTAATTACAAATATTGCCTTAATTAAAAATTGCAAATTATGGATTTAGTTTTGGTCTTTATTTTATTACAGGACGTGTTGGAATTGCTAGAAAAAAGGGTAAAATCAAGATTTTCTCATCGCCAAATTTACCTCTTATATGCCCCGTCGTTTGATCAATATGTTGCAGTGTTCAAGTAATCACAGAATTTGCTCTTGTATTCTCTTGTAAATTAAAACCGCAATCTCACATGATTGGTATTTTCCTAACATGTTGCAGTATTCAAATAGTTATAAGATTTACTTTTGTATTCGTCTATAAATCAGAATAATCATCCGGTAAATTTATTCTCTTTGCCCTAATTTATCAAGGTCTTTACTCAAAATAGAAGGCAAAGGCCATAAACCTAGCCAGACAAAATCATGGAATAATCATATTGAGGTCTTAAAAGCCATGATCAGAATTATTTGACGTGAACATTGATTTCATTCTTTTCATAATATCTTTCTAGCTTTAGAAAGTCAGTTAATGCCATATCTTATAATTTATTATCTAATCAAACGGTATTATTATCTTATAATTATTCAAATAGAAATTAGCAAATGATGGCAGCGTTAATGATATTTTACGAAGATTATTTGATTATAGTAAAGACTTACGTTTATTAAAAAATTTATTGGTAAGATAAAATTTGGATGACCATCAATAACTTTTGTCAATACTTAGCATTAGATGACCAATTTCGTAAACAGTATTATTTTCATACGTTAAGTGATGCATTAACTACTCTTGCTATAGGTTACTCCAGTATGTTTGATTCATGAAAGTCATCCTAATATTGTGCCAGACGATATAATAAAATCTTGCAAACATATCGTCAAAGATTACACGGTTCTCCTTTTGCAAGGTCTAGCCCAATTCAAAAATCGATAAATGCTTACTCGCATTAAAGTCACTATCTTAATATGAGTATATGATAAGTTAGTGAGTGAGAATATTGTTTTATATCCAAAATGTAGGCGTATCGGTCTTGGAACTGTCGCTAATTATTGCCATGAAACATTTATCAGATAAAAGAAGGACCACAACATTTACGTTTGAGATGGTATATCAAGGTGGATAAGAATATATATATATTGGTTAACTAAAACAATGGGAAATTAATAAGACTGATCCTAAAGTTTGCTCGCTATTTTTTTTAGAATACATGCAATTTATTTTATATAAATCGCAATTAGTGGAGAAATTTCCAAAACCGGTGATATTTAAGGTTCGATTTATTCGAATTTAAATTTATTTAGCTTGTCTGTAGTAAGTACTGTGTACGCACGAGAAAGCAAAATGTATAATACCAATTTCGTCTTGTAGGCATACGAACGTTTGATTGATATGGCATTGATTAAGCCTACGAATCATCCACATAAACGTCTGCAGAAAGAATACTGGCAAATGTCATTACTAGTTCAGCCTACACAGATTGCAGAAGCCTTGCAGAAATATCCTAATTGTCCAACGTCCGTCATGCAGTGGGCACTAAACCCTATTCATTCATAAACTTGTATTTAAATATAAATCTCGAATTGTAATGTAAATCAATGAATTCTTATCACTAATAACCAGCATTATTTCTATAATGCCGACGAAGTTTAAAAGGTTTTCGAAACAAGCTACAAAAGCCGTGATAAATTTGTGTTGCGATCTATTTTTAAATAAATTTTATTTTTACTGACATCCTGTAACGTGTTCCATTGTATAAAATAATTAAAGTTCATGTGTTCTGTTGTATAAAATAATCAAAAGTTCATAAAATTATAGCGTCATTATAAAAAATTGTGAAGGTGAGAGATATGCGTTAGCTCAGTGGCAAAGAATGCTTTTTTCTCGATTTTGAAAGATTGATGTATTGAATAAAATAAATTATTTATAATATAATCGATACCGTATTGATCTTGCATAAACTTTTTACATTAAATCGTTAATTCAACAAAGATATAATTTGTAGATGTGATTAGATCTTCCCAGACTGCGAAAAAATAGTAACCTCTACAATTATGTTACGGATTACATGTATCTGTTAATCTATAATATATTAGAAACCACTAGATTACACAGCGCCTGGATAAATTTTAACTAATTGTTGTATTCCGGTCGGTAGATGGGTTATTGGACATTTTCCGGACTGTTTGAGGTACTGGTATATGCATGGATAGCAGAACACATATCTGCAGAAAGATTAAATTGGTACAAGTATAGAAAAGCTGATCAGCAATGATATCGTTACTTCGATTTACTTTCAATAAGTACATTATTACTTACCCTGAAGTAGATAAGGCAGTAGCATTAGTTATTCCTTGATTACATAACGCACATTCAGCTGTGTTAATAGGAGGTCTAATTCCATTTGGAGCTGTCTGTGTATAGCAAATTAGCAATACAAAATAAAAATAGGTTTTTACTTTAAGTTCTCCAACAAGCTGATCACTCTATTAACCAGGAGATAATGACTGAATCTAAAATTTTATTTTGAAATGTCAGCTTCTTTTGTATGAAGGTGTGCTAATTAAGGTAACTTATGCGCAATGTGATTTTTTGGTTTACGATTAGCTCGAATTGACAGTAAAATTTCAAAATATTTGAAATCCTACAATCATACTTTTGGTTTATCTGGAGGCGGAGGAATAGGTAGGTCAGCAAATGTCGATGATGATCGAGTTGTATTCTCTTCTGAATACCACCATTCGACGATTTTAAGGCAAAACGCTAGGACGGGCAAACTACTCGTAAGGCCTTTCAGAATGAAGGAAAATATCGTGCTAATAACCCTCATAGTTTTACCCCATAAGGATAACCTGCATAAACAAATCGACGTATGGTAATTAATTTATACTTCAATGATCAACAAGGCAAATAAGGTGCAAAAGCATATCGTTGTTGTAATACTATCCAACGTTTTATTTGTTAGATGCTTCTTAATTTCTCTATTTTCAATTAATTCCTAAATAGATATACAATTTATAAATTTTGAATATTCTAACATAAAATTGAAGAATTAATTGTCTCCAGAATGAGTCACTTACAACATCCTCCTTTGTAAGTAAGGTTAGTCGTAAGCCTATTGTAAATACAGTATATATAGTCATCCGACCGGGTTAAGAAAAAGAAAGAATAGTTTAGTACAAAAATATTCGATGTGGATCAGTTCTTATGTAAACTATAAATTATAGCAAGTACAACGAAACCTCCAATGTCATTGATTAATATTACTGTATAATTTGTATTACCATAAGGAGGTATTTACCTGCTAACTTGAGCAACGGTGAGAATGAGTCATCTATTCCGAAAGCATACATTAAATTGAAGGCTAAGGAAATAGTCTATAATTTAACAATAATGTAATAACAGGGAAAAGAACGTATGTCACTTGTGAATTTGATGAACTTACTACAACACAAGATAATACTATGCAGAGTCATGTTACTTACTTGTGAAATAAAATGTATGTACGGATACACTACCAAGAAATAATTTTTAATTTTTTGAGACGTACTATTATTGGTCTGATTGTATAAAATTTAGAATAAACTTTATATGAGAAAATTGCCAGTCGTTCAAAAACGAGAAAAGAATCATTAATACATAGGAATAACAGGTGCTGAAATCCTTTGCCTTATGTAATATACTCACTGTCGTAATTTCATCGTTCCATTCATTGAAGTAGGTATCTAATTTGTTTTTAATATAAGGTACACCAACCTAATTCGATTTGGTTAGACAAGATACATTATTACCAACTCTAAGTATACAGTAATTGCAATAAATTTGCCTAGCCATGGACCTCTAGAACCTCTAAGGGTCAATGGCATGTAGAATTAATTTAATGAGAAAGCATCAGAAACAATTCTAAACTGCTACAACTTGAACATAAGCACATTAGTTGACTATACTTATAATCTGAACGACAAATGTGCATAAAATTAATATTACTACTAATAATTTCTGTGTACCAAGAACAAGAGGGACAACAATCGATGCTTTGTACTTAGAGACTGTCCCATATTTTTGGCGTTAATATCAGATCTTCTTAGTCCATAAAAATTCTCATAAAACGATGCCTCTATATCGTAGTAATAAAGTGTAAGATATTTTCAGTCGAGGTTCCAATTAATGCAGTTGAAATTTGATGAGCACCAGTATGTAATCATAATATAATATAAAGGCATTAAGTATGTATGCGTACATAGATTGAAAAGTATCATCGTACATTGGCTTATTATAACTCGTACGGCTATTATCGATATGGTAATTTTCTATCTCTAAAGGTGCAGTGTATATGAACGTACGCGTCTGCAAATTTACAGAGACTGTTATAGCGCTGTCTTGCGGTATCTATCACTTTCTCGGTTCAAAGAGTAAACTTGTGCTAGTCTAAGTCATGCAGCTTACTGCGCTGTACACTATTAGACTGTAAAAATTATACAAGAAGACATTTTTCCATATAAAGGTAAAGAAATTTTTCAATACCGAATCTGCGCAACGAATACATTTGCAAGACAAGATCGAGGCAGCCGTATATTTCTTCACTGTAACGCCATAGCCAGCCACAAAGATGAGGGTAATGTTGAGAAATTGTCTGCAAAAGAATAAACTTGGTTAAACACCATCCATTTCAGAAGACTAACCTTGGATATTTTCAGGCATACTACAGTACTAAAGTGCTATGAACTAATGTAGGTCATAATGTTAAAACAAAATTGACCTTCTCTTTGATATTGCCTATTCTACTGGTAACTTAGACGAATTTGCTGATACCTATTGAATGTCCCAGCTGAAACAATTGGCAATTGAAGATCTACTAATCTTATGTTTAGCATAACATTGGCAAGTATTTTCAATCTTGATCCATTACCAAGGCTTACATTTACATTTTACTAGCACTATGGATGAAAAGGATAAAACCAGCCAAGATGTTGCGCTGTTTGATAGTGAGATATTGTAATGTAAATACTGCAGTAAGGTGCCTTCAATGGTATTATGCGATTACCAGCTACGTGTTTTCAATCCATAACGTATGATTACTAATACGTAAAACTCTCTAATTCATTATTTCAACAGAGCTACTGATGAAAAAGATAAAATCAGTCCAAATAGGAAAGCAAGGAATTTGTAGGCCAATATTGCATTGAAAGTGCCGATTAGATTACAAGACGGGAAGGAATGGAAACGATTGAATCGAACACGAATGGTGGTGAAAAGACGAAGACAAGTCGGTGGAAATGGATTATTATTATCCAGCATTACAGTAAATCAATTTTACACTCTCACCTTTAATGCATAATTTATAGCAGGCCTTAAAGCAGTTGTCATACTATTTTGTGCGACCAACTCGAATAGTGAAGGCCTTAAGTAGTTTTGTTGCATAAAATTGGCCGAGAAGGAAGCCATCCTTGATCTTTTCTATCTATCAAAGTAGCGACGAGCTCAAGGGTGTTTTTGGTTCAATGCAATGATGCAAGCACGATCTCTTTCCACTGTCATTAACCTCTATGGACTACCACGAATGTTGGCAAGTCGAAGCTTATCGATTTCAATGCAATTACAAGCAAGAAAGAAGTTAGAATTAGTGTTGATATTTCCTTGCCAGGCTTTCTGCTCTAACCTACTTTGAAATAAAATCAATCAACCTTGTCTTGCTCAATGCATGGACATTGTACTGAGTGTACAGTGTACAGTACTGAACTGTACTACTGGGCACTGGTACTGTAGTGGACAGTCGATACTAGAGTCCATGGTACAGTTACTACATTACGATCAGACAGACGGACTATTCTGACCCAATGAGGCCAAAAATGACTACTGTACTTAGTATGGATCTTCCGTGTCTGTTTTCTAAATCACTCAGAGAAATAGCGTCCAAGACCTTATATAACTGTTTTCAAGCTGAAATTTGTAACCGATAGTAAGATTCAATGGAACATGACTTGATTGAGAAAACGTCAGCTAATTCAAACCCACCGACTGCATACTAAGGCACGGCTATAACAAAGTGCTTGGCCCAATATTTTGACGAGATGATGGCGACAATGTCTGTCCGTCCAAGAGTGATCCGTTCTGGTCTTCTTCTTGGACCATGGCTGCACGCACTCTCAGCAGTCAGCACTCAGCCATGAATCAGCGCTGTAGCCGTGGTAACAGACTTGGAGTGGGATCTAGTAGCATACGAGTTTTATAATGATGTAATATCGCTGCTTCTATTTCATCTATTTCTTGAATGTTAAATAGAAGCGTTGAAGAAGGCTAGATGGAGCTTTATTAATTAATCTGTCCAGTGTTACAAATTTCATCATGAAAGCTCTTGTACAGCGTGTAACAGAAGCTCGTGTAACAAGTACGTATACGCAAATATACATTGCACAATGTTTAGGGTACATACTCCGATCATATTGGCAATTTCATGACAGTAATGAATGTACATTGTACAGTTTAATATAGTTGAATATTCTGCCATAGAGTCTATGGACCACTAGATAGGACTATCATCTAGTAGTCTAGGATGTAATAAGTGTATGATGATTAATGACATTCCAATGGAAATCGCGTCAAAGTTTTGATCGTTAACTGGCTCGCTTTTACTGACGCAGGATTGATACAAATACCCTTCCAAGTAGTAATAATTTAAAGCTGAAATAATATCAGATAACTCTTGCTTTAGTGCTAACCCTTAGCTAGGTATTGGAGCTTTTTGATTGTAAAGATACTTTCGTGTGCAATCAAGGCTTTGCTAAAGTGCAACTAAAAGTGCATCAATACTCAATAACGTTATCATTTACTGTAGAAGATGTGATCTTATGGATTACCCTGTCTGCATGTACAGTATATTGTACAGTTCAATGCTATGGTCTGTGTTGATATAAAATACTTCTACTACAGTACGATATGTAAATTCTCCACGTCGAGACTTTAGTGTTGAGCGGTTTATTGATATTTTTGACTACGTTATATAAACTCTCACAGTTAGTGTAGTTCGAAGTTTACAATGGCGTTGCTAGCATACCCTGACTTGTATAATATACATATTATTCATGTCAGTCTCTGGTAGTAGCAAATACAAGCGTAGTATTTTCTTATACCTCTATAATTCATTGAAGATAATAACGTATAGTTAATGCGTGGTGTATCTATTTCTTATAGTGGCCCATACTTTCTGTATCGATAACTGCAGCTTCCTAGTAATATCTCTATGCATAGACTACATTATCTATTTATAAATTTTAATGCTTTTAATCTATAAAAATACCAACTATATTATCTTCTCATTTGCGCTCCACAACGCAGTATTCCACTTCGAATTCTAACATGTTTTTAAAATATTACTTTATCGGGTATATTGATTTGCTACGAGTGCCATTTTGTAATATAAAACATTATTGATACTGTCCGCGCTAATAAGTCTATATTCATTCATCTATCACAGTCGGCAATGATCTAATAAGTTCGATTGGCCCTGGATTAGTGGCATTTATTGGTATCGGAAAGGATGACTCAGAAAAAGATATTGATTATCTGTAGGTTATAACATCTTTATTACGGTTGAAAGACTATTTGATTATTGGTGAGTGCTAACACTAATACTGTGTTAAATGCTTTTGCAGTGTTAAAAGACTTTTAACGATACGAGTCTTTAATGATGAAGATAAACTATGGGAAAGAAATGTTAAGGAAATGAACTATGAAATATTATGTGTCAGTCAGGTATTAACAGCGATCAGAGCGAATTGAGAATTGCTGTAATCATTTACTTGATATTATTTAAATGGAACTTTGAATATTTACTATGACATTTTATAGATAAAAACACTTGTTCTAGTTCGCGGTAGTAAAAGCATTTCGGCATATGCAGTCCTATTATAGATAACTGTTGTATAATTCAGTAATTAAAATACTTGCCTAAGGATATTTTTTTTAAAATTGAGCTAAGCAAACAGTTATTTTGTTGTCATTACAAATTTGATGTAATTGTAGATCGTCGTATTAATTCGTAGTATATTTCTCGTTGGACAGTATACTTTAATTGCTGCATTCAAAGGTGCCAAACCGGCTTTTAACAACTGTATGCCACCGGAGAAATCGAAGGAACTGTTCGAAAAGTTTTTGACTGCGATCAAATCACAGTACTTGGAAGAAAGGATAAAGTGTAAGCATAGGCTCTGAACGCATAACAGAAGAGACGCAAATTTTGTCATTCTTTATATGTTTGAATCATTTAGGCGATTATAATGCACTTAATATACTCCCAACTTATGTTCATGAGTTTATGTGGTTAAAAAGGAAGCATTCAGATTCAGAAGTATTAAAGACTGAAAATATTTATAATTACAGCCAATATCTTTGGATCAACTGGCCAGGTTTCGTTAGTTAATGATGGTCCTACTACATTTTCATTTGAATCGCTCAGAAAGCATGAGGTTGGAACATTTAGGGGGAACATCTAGTACTATATGTTCCATTTTCTGTTCTTTACACGTTAATAATCAAGAGAATCATTGTTAATACTGAAATGTTTTAGGACAGCAGTGGAACGAATAGGAGGGGAAAAACAAAACATGGCAAGGACGGAAAAGCTCCTTCTACAGAATCGGTAAATGATAAATCAATTGAGACCGACAAGAGTGCAAACAAGAATAATTAATTTTATCTTGATGATACCGGCTTTCATCTATACAGGAGTTTGTGAAATGATTTCACGTTCACTAATTTTTCATAATTGCATTAAACAGCAAATTTTATTAGCAATAAGATACTATTCTCTTGTATAAAAATATACTTTACTTTGGGACTGCAATAACTTGACGCCTTACGTACGTTAAGCAGTACACCTGTTCAACCACTGTATCTTAAGTTAGTATTTTTTATGTAATTGTCTCATTTGAGCATTAATAAAATATTCGTCAATCGAGCATATCCTGCAAAGGATTTTTGGTGGTATTCACTATCGAAGAAATGCGACAACAATATGAGATTTAAAATTCATAGGCAAACATAGTAATTGTACATTCAAGATTTAGGTATATCTTGTTGCACAATAAACATTGGCACATATACAGCATTTATATAAGGGAAATGATAAAATATGAGCCGAAACCTTGGCAATTGATTTAATATACACACAAGAATGTTATACGGTACTACTATCTTATAATCAAACCGTGCAACAATTTCGACAATTGAAATAAGCCTATTAAGTACCATTCTTTGGTCTTTTATGCATGATAAGAAATAATAGCTACAACGATAGTTCGCTGGAATAGTTAGAAATACAGAAATAATAAGATTTCATCATTTGCTTAAAGATTTCTGATATAATCGAATTAGCTCTGTCACTGAACCATTATCAGGTGAAAGAACATCTCTGAAATAGGGATGCTGTAACGCTAATCTTGCCGATATTCTTCCGTTCGGTTCATAAACCAACATTTGCTAGAAGATTTTAATATTATGACCTGGTTATTAGCAGTCAAACCTGAAGTTTCGTATCAAATTATAGACATACCTTAATTAGATCGACGCAATCTTCATCATGGCTATAAATAACCGAATTTAAATCCCTTGACGGCCATTTAGGAAACGTTGACTTATAATCTGACATTTCCGAGACACCTGGCCAAGTAATTTCATCAGGCGTGCCTAAGGTTCTATTGACATAGATAAATATATATCATTTTAGAATTATAATTCAACTTTATGAAGTAGGCTAAATGCTTCTGATGAGACTAACAACATGTTAAGTAGTAATAGCGTTACCTGAATACTCTAAACAACTGATCAATTTCGGAATCTCCAGCGAAAAGTGGTCTTCTATTAATCTTTATCATTACAGTACAAAAGCATTAGGAAGTATTGAATACTGTATCTAGCTAAAATTTCATGCAGTAAAAATCAGAATAATAGCAATTTCTAATAGATTAATAATTCTGCTGAGTTTAATATACCATTTCTACAAAGATGCATCCAATGCTCCAAATATCTACAGGAGTAGAGTAATAAGTGCTTCCTAGTAATATTTCAGGCGCTCTATACCACAAAGTTATGACCTAAAAATGAGATATAAATTGTACTTTCAAGAAGAATATTACGAAAGCCGAAATTAGTCCATTATCATTAAGAAGTGGACAGTCTACACAGGTTAATATAACCACTAAACATATAGGGCAATTAATTGTCATAAATAAATTCACAAATTATAATTGAAAATTACTTCATGAGTGTATTGTCGAACTGGTAGTCCAAATATACGAGCCAAACCGAAATCAGCTAGTTTCAGTGTACCCGTTGAATCAATTAATAAATTTTGAGGTTTCAGATCGCGATGTAACACTCGTCTTGAATGACAATATGAGATCGCACGCAACATCTGATACAGGTAACTCTAATGAAGTTAAAGTCATCAGCATCAATTGTGTTGTATAAGGCTTTTACGGTAACCACAGAGGTACAGATTTTGTACCCTATAAATATCCTTATTGTGGCTAAGTTAAATTTTAATGGCTTCGTAGTGCAAATATTCTCTTTAATGAGTAATCTAAGTTGATGGCTATTGACAGTAATTACTTAATGTTAAGTTTATGCATTACGAAATCAGCCTACTTTACCTAATCTATATAGATATACTGCGCCAATTAGAAACAAACTAATCATGTTAACTACTGATAATAAATGAACACGTATATAATTTATTTTATTATTCTACGAAGCCATCTATACGTATCACTGATATTATACAAACTCTGCAATTTTATTTTTCAAAGTTAAGAGTAGCTACCTTTAACAACGCCGGAGGTATTTTATAAGCGTGATCTAGGTAATGTTTTAAATCGTGATCAAGATATTCGAATACCAAATACAGACATTGATCACTATGGACCACATCGTATAGCCTATTATTAATAAATATAAATTTCAGGTAAAATTATATCGTATCTATTAGTAACAAATTCTCACGAGCTGTAAACTCAATCATTAAAAATTAAATCTTATTCTATATAATTTTATGAAAACAAAGTCGGTATAATGGTTGTTACAACCGAAATTCATCTACGTACGTACAAGTATACATATTTCAGAATAGGATTACTTTATTGGATAAGCACTATATATATTCTTTTCTATTATAAGTAATAAATTTGATAGTTCCATCTGATATACCTGACTACAAATGAATGATTTAGAGACCGAAGGATAGAGATTTCCCTCAGTGTGGTACTGGGAACGCCTTCTTTATCACTAGATAGCAAGAACATAGATACTGTATTAGGATACAAGCCAATATTTGTGACCATATATTATACGCATTCGACCATAAAATTTATAATAGATAGGTATCGAATCCATTATTCTACAAGATTTACGAATGTGATGGAAATTTGAACACAATCAGTAAACTGTTTCGTATCTTTTATACTAAAGAACGGATAAGACGAGAAAATATTGAACCTGCAATTACTTTAGGGCGGAAAAAATACTATACAACTTGGAATTTTAGCTGTAAGGCAACTAGCATGCGATCACAATATTATGCTCTTTAAATTAAGTGCTACATGCACAAGCAATTCATGATCATTGATAAAAGACATAATAGAAGCCTACTAGCATGCGGCTGAACTATAATACTGCACATATCGATTATATGCGAATGTGGTAACCAGTGAGAGTCTATCGTATACAAGTTGTTATTTACGACAGTAGCTACTATCACAACATACTTTTACCTATCTAAGCGAATCTTTTTTAAAGCAACTGTTTGACCAGTAATCTTATTACATGCTTTGTAAACTTTGCCATAGGTTCCTTCCCCAATTTTTTCTAACTTGTGAAAATTTTCCATATCTTATAATTTTTTAAATTCTAAGGAATTGTTACTGAATACACGTAATATGTAATTTTTCAGCGTCCAAGTAGTAGAATTGACTTTATCCTTCCACTTCACACGTGTCAAATCCGAGTAGCGTTTAGAAGACGTCGCTTTGATTATCGCTAAAGGTTCTGCGTGATATAATGCTTCTTACGTAGTGAATCACTTCAGTGATGTATCCAAAGATACAATTTCGAGAACTTTTGTCTAATTAATGAAGCTCGATTACACTGACAATAGCCACAGAGCGATATTACGACAAGTAATGATGTTGTCTTTCTTATCTTTTAAATACTATAAACAAGAAGTATTTTAGACTGTACTATAAATTTCAATTGTACAGTAATGTTTACTGTTGAAAGTTACTGCCAAATTACAGTATTTGCAACGATGAAAGTCCTCAATCTCGAGAGGAATTTTTACCTAGTTGCACACGGTACAGTATTGATTCAATTCTTCACCACTAATTTTAATCTTTTGATGTTACTACAGTAATTACAAAATGACGCCAATTAATAATTTATGTAGAAAATCGCTCAGTAGATAGATAGGTTTCCGTCTCCAAAATCTGTTTATGCTTGACGATTGTATTTGAATAAATGAACTTCTGTTTCATGCTTTAGAAAAGAACAGACCATGATACTAGATCTAACACTTGCAAAACTAATACGACTAGTAGGACTACACGAATTATATAACTATAATACTAAGTTATCAATGATGACGGTACATCCGATTCTGTGATAGTGACTAGCTACATGAAACTGCTGCCACTAAAGATATTATACTTTGGATTTATACACTCAGTATCTTTCCTACATGTTGCATATTGCAGACGTCAGTGAAGCAGAAACATTTAGAAGCCGACCTAAAGAGGAAAATACAACAATAATGTTATTTAGTTACATAATTAAAGGCCAATGCAATAATATCATATGTATAAATCTAAAATAAATATAAATACGCATACTGTACATGGAATAATCAGATTAATAAGCCATATGTAACATGCATATAATATGCTCAGTGCGAAGTGACAGGGATAATGTAAAAGTATAAGTACATATAGATTGTATATACACAGTGGACGAAGTACCGTATACCGAACGTGAGCTCAACCCGTACGCTGTAGTCGTCTATATTTAGTACGTATGGACATACTCTATACGAGTATGTGATTCTTCTTTCCTAAATATGTGCTTTGCATACTTGCAGACATTACTGGATATGATGTATGCACCCGTATACTCTATATTAAGTTAATCTCACATTGAAGATACTGTAAATAGGTAACATCGGAGCATTTACTGCAGTAGGTTAACACTTGTTGTGATAAATGAGAATAAAGTATTTCATGATATTTGATGGGCTCAATTCAAGAACTGTTCGTTTATTAGAGATATGTGAATTGAAGAACTGTTCATTTATTACAGGTAGGTGTGCGTGCGATAAACTCGACCACTCTAATAGTTGTCTAGTAATTGCGACTCTTATTTGCTTGTATCCATATTGTATCATTATTGAACAGGGATATTGTACTGCACGAAGTCAATGCTACTGTTGTGATCGGTACTAGGTTTACAATCCTGGGGCAGTATGCAACACTAAAATGATAATAACCGTCTCATCAAACAGTAGGCGTATCATCACTACAGTGCTGACACAGAGAGAAGATATGCATTTTGCTGGCTTCAGATAAAATTAGCCTTAGACTACTAGAAATAACCACAAACGGTTTATTTGCTTTGCAAACGTATCTCATGCGGCTTTAATCGAGGCCATGTTCTTGCCCTCCACCTTACCTAGCTAACCTATGCAATTAATCTCATTTTGTAGAGTTTCATTTCAAACACCTTTCAATACTGCTAAGAAAACTGGTCTGGAAAATTACTGCCTATTTTCTAACGTCATGCACCGCTGTGCTTCCTTAACGTGCTCATGCTATGTAGCTTACATGTACGCACAAAAAATAATCATAATACCGCATCATTTTAGTCACTGTTTTTAGCCTTGAAAAATGCTATGACTAAATTGTGCATGCGGTCACACGATACCGATACAGTGGTAGTTCTACCGTATTGCATGTAAGAAAACATTCAATCCATTCTTATCATTTGCCCATATACTATAGCACCAACATTGCGCTTGTAATGTAGAGTCTTTCAGAGCAGCCAAGTTAGGATTGTATATCTGCCAAGATCGAATGGAATGATCATTTTGTGGATGCTTCTATGTCATTCCGACAAAATCCACCAGCATAATCGACGTGTGGAGACCAGAGGGGCAAGGCAGTACTTCCCTGCTGACGTCGGTTCAAAATGAAATTATTGAGCATTATTGACAAGCAAGCAAAAAGTTTTGCTCTCCTTCAATTTCTTTCATTTTGCATAGTTGGTTGGTTGGTTGGGATGTCAATGTCACAAAGTGATTAACGAGCTGGCAGTATTATTTCCTGTCAATATATTTACCAATTCAGGCATTACCTGTATGTTGCACCGAATAGCCTTTTTTCTTCCTCCTTTTTTTTTTCTCTGCTGTGGTGAGAGGTGGAGCAGGACGTCCGATCATTTCATTCTCTATATATAGTCCACTTGCAAGTACTGCATGACTGTATTGTACAGTGGCTTTCCACTCTTTGGCGGGTAAAAACTGTGTCGCAACTCGCAAGTGGAGTGGTTGTATTTTACACTGTCTAGGAGTACTGTACAGTCTATATTAGACGTGTTAGTTTTACTGTATGATGCGATTTTCAGTGGACTTGTGTCATAACATACTGTACATACACTTGCATACAGTACAGTTTGTAGTCCAATCAAGGCACCTTTTCCTGCCTAGTTGGAAATCAACCATCAAAGGCAGACTGAATATTTGCAATATAGTATTCAGTTGGAGATTAGCTATACATTGACGATCTGGCGTTGGATTCATAGACATGCAGTATCCAATGGATCGCATTTCTACGTCGTTGAATCATGCAGACATCATCATACATAATTCTATACAGGAAAAGGCGTATCATGATCATTGAACAGTATGTACAGCACAGCCTGTATATTGTCATATCGATACGGTATGTATTTGATGAGTAATTTAGTGGCACTCGTACGTTAGCATGACTTTAATTTGCATGATGGATTGGATTATTTATACAGATCGGTGAGCGAAATAGAGCTATTATTTTGGTCCAGTAGAGTCAATGCTAAAGCAATGATGTTTTTTACTCATTTAGCATAAGTCATGGCAGTTGTAGATCCAAAGTACTGCGAGTCTGAGGCAGAGGATGCAATGAATGGAAGCTAGCGTTAAAAACCGCGAAAATATGCCCGTCAATCAATTACTAAAATAAATACGTATGCAGACGGTCTAGTACTCTACTTTATTTTGCTGGAAGTGGATAGAAAAAAATAAAATCCATATTCAGTGTTGCTTTGGTGAATGACTGATATTGCGTCTGCATTGTATTGGCTCATTTTCCGCCTGGAGAACAATATAAAAGGGCAATGACCTGCATATTTCACGTACCTTGAAGGAAGGCAATTGGTCAATATTCGCGCGCAATTGCGGACATAAACAGATTATCCCGCCAAAAGTGATATAGTGTTTCAAGTCGATTACGGTACCGTACGGTAGAGTGCGGTACCAGGCGTAGGTTTCCTACTTTTGTCCAGTCTGTAATGTACAGTACAGTACACGTACAGTACCGTACTTTACAGTACACGTACTGTACACGAGGTACTGTACACTGTACAATGTACAGTACAGTACATGACTGTACAGTACAGTACAGTACACAATGATTGCACTTCATGTACAGTATGTACAGGACTGTACTGTACTGTACAGTACAGTACTGTAATGTCAACTTTCCAGTAAAAACTGTTCTGCACTTTGACTCGGATCTCGGACAGTCGGACCAGTAGTCCAATACCCTTTACGATTATTAATGGATCTTGCTTATCATCATATCATAATATGATGTAGAGCTTGTTCTGTCCGTACAAGCAAGCGCAGTGCGGTACTTTACAATTACAATGTACAGTGTACACTGTACAGTGAGTACTGTACAGCAGTGCTCCGTGCAATCCTACAGTACTGTACAGTACAGTACTGTATTGTTGATTGAGTACAGTACAATATACTGTACAGTACAGTACATCGTGTACAAGTCATCGGTACAACTTGTGTAATACAGTATGTTTGAAGCAAGTTTGAACGCTTCCAGCCCCCTAAGAGGCTTCTAGAAGTCCATGGCAGCTGTAAAATGGAATGCAGCCTTGGACTAGTTAGTATTGATAGACTACTCGATCTCACCCCTAGGATCTCTAGAAGTCTCTCTTTTTCCAGTAGTCTACAGTATGATGCAAAGCTTGGAGTACATGGTACAAGTTAGGACGATCGTAGTCCTGGGTGCATGCTGTACCCATGGACTAAGGGTTAAGTTCAATGTGCCAACGATCCATCCTTGACTAGTCCAATGCTCCAATCCTTCTATTTGTGACGCTGACGTATCGACCAACAGTGTCCAATCGTTCAACGCTCTATACTGTACCATGGACTTACTCAATCTTACCGACAAGATGGAGTAGTCCATGACTGTACTTTACAGTAGAAACCCTGAGGTCCTTTTGGATGGTACAGTATCTTCATTTTGTTTGTTTGTTTTCTATTGCTTTGTACTGGTTGTACAAGAACAAAACGGAGGTCAGCGAGTATGTATTAGTGGACAATTTGAGTTGATGATCGACGACGATACCATTTGATGGACTCCTACAGTACAGTGTACTGTACAGTTACAGTCAGGCACCTTTGTACTGTACGTAGAGTACTGTACTGTTGATAGACTGATGGGTACTGTGCTGTATTAGTGGACAATTTGAATTGATGATCGACGACGATACCATTTGATGGACTCCTACAGTACAGTGTACAGTCAAGCACCTTTGTACTGTACGTAGAGTACTGTACTGTTGATA